CCTGCAGATATGCCTCCCCATTTTGTGCAGAGAATAGAGGGCGGGGATTGCCTCCCACTGGGCAGGAGATGGTGAGGCCAAGGTTTTGGGGTTTTTTTAAAGGGCTGGGAGCTAGGGCAGGCAGGGCAGCTATGGAGACCTGGGAGAGTGGCGGGGGGGGGTTGGGGGATCATGGAAGAGCCCCCATCATGGCGTGGGGCAGTGGGGATTGCCCCCCACCTGGCAGAAGCTGGTGAGTGGGGGCTTTTTTTTTCAAAGAGTGGGAGCTGGGGCAGGTAGGGCAGCCATTGAGAGTGGGTGGGGGATGGGCCCATGAGATTCAGAGATTCGGCTGATTCGGCAGCAGCTAAATTTCTGAATCAGATTGGGCCAAATCAATTCGGGACAGCGATTCGAATCACCAAATCGAATCACTGTCCCCCAAATCGGCCAAATCTGAATCCAAAGCAAATACTAGCCACTTTGCACAGGCCTACTAAGCAGTGTAAGGGGTTCTTGAAAGAAAGCACAACCTGTGTCCATCTTTGGTTATTACATGGGAGTCAGTGTCAGTTACTTACCCAGGCTGTTGGCATCGAGCGGGATGGTGGGGAGATCAACTTGCACAAAACCTGAAAGAGAAAGAAGGAAAAAGACTGTGAGTTAGGAGCAGGGCAGCTCTCAAATACTTACCTTGTTTCTGGGTTGTACCAAAGAGTTCCCCTCTCTAACCACCCAGGCCTCTGAGCCTGTGGTTGGCTGGGTGGGAGTGAGTACAATAAAGCCTATGGCTGTTTCAGTTAAGCACCAGAAGTCCATCTGGTATTTTTCCATGCGGGATTAACCATCTTAATTTTTCCCATCTAAGATGTGGCAGGAGAGTTCCTTAGCAGAGCGGGAAGGGGGGCCACCCTTCGCCTTAATGATGAGAACTAGGCTTTTGTTAAGCCTATTGCTGAGTAGCCTTTCCAAGAATGGTTGTAAAGCTCATCCTGTCTGCTCTGCATAGCTTTTGGGGCCCTGTGAGATAGTGAGTAAAAGTTTCTCCAATGTCCATAGTCAAAATGTGTCTTTTCAGTGTTGCTGCTGAGACACTGTATGCCAATTAGCTTCTGTCCTCTATGACAGTAGAAGCTTCATGTTAGTGGGACAATTCTGACATTGCCCGCATGGTTCCTGCAATGCACACAGTGGTAAAAGCTGTAGTGGCAGTGTGGTTTGGATCTTGCTTTAGATCTAAAGATATGAATCTGAGCCTTTGAACTAATAGCAAACAATGCCCCTAGTTTACTCTGCTGTCACTGGGTGGCTGGTCATTTGGGCTAAGGTGGAACAGCAAAGGTGGCTGGATGTGATGCTGGCCACATCGCACCTTTGGGGCCACATCACACCCCCACAGAAACTGGCATGCTTCATTTTGACCAATGGTGGTATGATTTCTGCCTATTACTCAGAGATGCTACAAATTTGTAAATCAGTTTGCCAAGACCTTTGAGATCCTTCAGGAAAAGGGGCACATAAGGGATTGAAGACATCAGTGCCAACAGTAGCACCATAACCATCAACTACTACAACTGTTTTTGTGGGCAGTATTGACATGAAATTGAAAAGTTCATTTGAAAGTTATTGTAAAGAAATTCCATAGTGATGACAAAACAAAGAGCTTCTTTGGCTAAGAACAGACATTGCATTTATGCCAGTTTAAGTTGTGCCTGTGTTTGTCCTGGGACAAAAATATCCCCCAATTGGTGTATACACCAATTGCCCTTCTAATCAGAGGTTGGTGAACAACTGAAGCTAGTGGCATTTATCTGCCATAGATTCAATTATGCAATCCTGGAAAAACTGTACAAATGTACTATCCAATATCTAAGGATAAACTACTACTGCCTCTTGCCTGGGAAACTTTTTTAGGATTTATCCCAGGACAATGGACATGGATGTCTGCATGGGCTCCTACATATGTGCAGGGAAGCTGCTTCAACATGCTGTAATTACAGTGTAATTACTGTGCTCCAGCAGACTCCAACATCACATGCAACAGCATCCCTGCACTGAAAAATGGTAGTGGGATGCTTTAAATGAAAGCTCATTTGACAAGCTTTAGTTCAAAGCACCCCACCACCATTCTTTAGAGCAGGGACACTGATATACATGATGCTTCAGGTGCTTTTAATTAGTGCAGCTCTCAGAGCTGTGCTAATTAAAGTGCCACCCCCTTCTCCAGAGCATGTCTATAAATACCCTATGCTTGCACTTTATCCCAAGATAATATGGTTTATCTCAGAATAAATGTGATGTCCATTTGCAGCCTTTAAGACAAAACCCTATGTAGCCTCTACCTTGGGCAAAGTCTTGTCCTCAAAGCACACTTAACACAACTCCCATTGAACACTGAAGTTAACTGGAATTTCATGTAACTCTTCAAAATCAAAATATGGTTATGTACGTCACCCCACCACATGCACTGATCCAAAATTCCCATGGAACTCAAACAGGAGTTTTCCAGAGTCAGATTTGTAAGTTTGCCCCCTGCATACTATAAATAATTAGTCTGAAAAATATCTGTGCACCAAACTCTCTGTCTGTGGACTTGTAAATCTGCACAGTGAAAATAATGCTATTCTTGCTTCATAAATGTGTTTCTTATTAGCAATCTCTCCTGCCCCCCAGAGTGCCCACACTGTATTTTTCCTCTCTCTCTCTCCCCGCCAAACACTTCTCTTTTCACCTTATACACACACACACACACACACACACACACACACACACACTTTTACTTCATTTCTAACCCTGGCATCTGTAACAGCTATAGCAGCATAACAGTAAGAGAAGTTACAGACATATCCAGTATTTATTCATCCCCACATGTTGGCAAAGTCCTTGGGGTTTCAGAATTAGCTCTTTCACCCTTTTAAACAGAAGAAAAAGAAAAAAAACAGAATGTTACAAATCTGGCAAGGAGCATATAAAAATATCAATCCAGACCCTCATCAGAGCAAGGCAAATAACAATGTGCAGATTTTATTAAAAGCTGAAAAAAAGCTCTTTCCCACAACTGAGGAACTTTAAGCCAAAAATAACCAAGCCTGAACTCCAGCTTTGCCTGTGGTAATGAGCTGTTCTTCCCTTAGTGGACTATAGAGAATTGTTTGTTTCACCCTGTGTTGCACTCTGTTCGCTGAGATTTGTCAATTAAAAATATATTGCACTGACCAAAAAAGAAAACATTTTCTTTAGTAACCAATGAATTATGACTTACCTCCATGCCCCAATTTTAGGTCATTTTCTAAAGTAAAAATAACATTTTATGGATGGATGCTTTTCTATGCATGGCGCTTCCAACTGCCATTCATCTCCAACCAAGAAGCAAAGGTCACTTGATCTCGACTTCTCACAATTCTTGATCAGGCCAAAGGCAAGTTAAAGGTAAAATTCCATTCAGAGAGCTTCCGAGTGTTTTTTAATTGTGATATTCTCTCCCCTCACAGCAGGCATATGTAAATGACTTAACCTGACAGCAGTAAGAAGAGAAAGGTCCCACAACCTACAACACCAACATTTATGCTAAAGAAGACCTTTGGAAGTCAGTGGCCCACTACTGCGATCAGTGGGATGGGCCATTAGAGGCTTGTCTG